AAATTTTTTCTGCATACTTATTAGGACCATTATCCAATTAATCTAATTCGAAAGAAAAAAAACTTAAAATCTTTAAGAAAGATTGCCTCTATAACATATATCCAGATTTTTTTTAACAATTGTGTAACCCTTTTCCTGAGTTTTTTTAAAATTAAAAACTACAATAAAATTTTTTTTTTTTTTTAATTACATCAACATAAATACAAAATATCAAAACAAAACAGTTTACGCAAAAAAACTTCTCATTGTTAGAACAGGTTTTTTTTATATTAAACGATTTGCTAACTCAACTTACAGATGTCTGTACATAACATTATATAACTGGTTTTTTTACACTTGCATATTACATCTCTATTAAGAGGCCATCCATAAATGATGTAAGTCATTTTTCTTGGTTTTTCAACCCTATCCGCACTTTCTTAAACTCTGTCAATTTTGGCTAACCTCTCTATTCTCCCCTATTTACTGACATTGATTGATAGCCCCTAATAATAGTATTCTATTTAGTTGTAACTTATTTAGATGTAATTTTTATCCTTTTTTAGAAAACATATAACCTTTTTTTAGAAAACATAAGCCTCAATACTGCTATGCAAATCAAGAACAATCAAGAACCTTAAGTGCAAAAATTAAACTTTTTAAGTCAAGTGTTGAATATGATTCCTTATAAGAATTTGCACCTGTCAAAAATTCAAGAAAACCTTATATAAAGAATAAGTGGTTATAGAAAGAATAAGTCATAAAAAGCATAGTAATATATTTACACATTAGTCTATTAAACAGTTTTTGACAAATATCTCAAAATCTAAAATTTTACCCTAGGTTGTTCATGATTGGCAGGGAAGAGTAGGTCACGTGGATTAGTATGCTGTCCTCAGTGCTAACACACCAACATTTTTGTGGGTTTAAATCTATCACTAAGCAAAAAAACTTTTTAAAGTTTTTTCAATCTTGACGCTTTTTTAAATCAGAACAAAATAGTTTAAGCAAAAAAGACTTATAATTGTCATAAAATTTTTAAAAGTTATCTATTTTATACACAATCATTCAATAAAGGATTCGCAAATTCAACTTAACTTACTTATGTTTACACATAAGTAAGTTAAGTTGAACTTGCGAAAAAGATGTTTAAAAAAAAACTGCATTTTTTTTTAAACATCTTTTCTTCCAACAAGGCTGCAACCAACCACTAATTAGTGTTGGAAGTTACTGGAAGAGAAAAGATGAAGATTGTTGAGAAAAGATGAAGATTGTTGAGAAAAGATGAAGATTGTTGAGAAAAGATGAAGATTGTTGAGAAAAGATGAAGATTGTTGGAAGTTACTGGAAGAGAAAAGATGAAGATTGATTGATTGAACAAGATAACGATTGACAGACTTAAAAGATTGCAAATTATATTAATCAGGATGATGATTGGAAGATGAAGGAAGCGAATTCCAAAGAACTGATGTTCAAGGAAAAAAACTAGACGAATAAAAGTTTTTGGAGCACTTAGAAACAGTAACAGAAAAAAGATGAGACTTAATTGAATGACAAGTAACACAAGGGTGAATTTTAGTAGATGGCACAAGAGACACTAGCTCTTTAGAGCAGTGCTCATTATAGTATTTGTAGAAAAGAGAAAGAGAAGCAACATTACAACGATGTGATAATGGTTAAAGGATGGCTGCAAGAGTAGGTCCAACTATGTTTACAATGCGTTTTTGCACCTTGTCTAAAAGAAAAAGGGTATCATTAGAAGATCCGCCCCAGATATGCAGCAGTATTACTAAGAGATATCACTAAGAGATATTAGAAATAGCAAGATAAAAGCAATAAGAAAACAAGTAATAAGTAAAAAGTAATTACAATGGGTAATTACAAATCAAAGGTTTTCAACAAAGTCTGGCATGCTAGACTTTCCCACTAGCTATTTCATAAGGTGTACCAGATAAAGTTTTTATAAACTATGGAACTTTTCTCTTGAACTGAAGTATTAAAGTTATCCTTGCTAGAAACTTCTGAACCTGCAGTTATTTTTGAGATACCACAAGATTTTAATCTTTCTTATATACATTAATAAGATTTAAAAAAAAAAAAAAAAAAGATTTAAAATCAACAATATTGGAAATAATGTAAACACTATTAAACTATATAACATCAACAACACTTAACATAAATAACAAGTTATTTAATATTGACATAGTATTATACTAATTCAAAAAACTTATAATAAATAATACCTAAATGTTTGCATAGTATATTGTAATTTGAGACAGGTCCTAAAACAAAATAAGTTAAAAAACTTTACATATGCATAATAAAACTTATACACTTCTACAGCTATCTCCTTAACATTTATCTGTAACTATTATCTCCTTAACATCTATCTGTAACTATTAAAATATTTGCATACAATAATTGGGAATATTCAAACTATAAATTCACATACCAGGTTTGATGCATGCATTAAATTTAGTGAACCATTCTGATGATATATAATATTTTTCTGTATAGTTCTATATTGAAAAAAATATTTTAGGTTATATAGATATATAAAAAAAAAAAATGATATTAGGTAAAAAAACAACCATGATCAGATGATCATGATTATACAAATATTTCTGGTAGCTACAGTGTAAAATAATTTCTTGTAGCTCCAGTGTAAAACCATTTCTAGTAGCTAGTGTAAAATAATTTCTGGTAGTTATTGTGTAAAATAGATGATTTATAATAAAAAAAGACTTTCTAACCTTATTTGAATTTAGTTGAGCATTGATTTTCTTGCGAAACATTTCAGCTGTGTTGTCTTTCAGAGTGTAAAATAATACATAAGCTTCTGTATTCAACACGGCAGTTTCTGAAACTAATTTAAAAATAATACATAAGCTTCTGTATTCAACACGGAAGTTTCTGAAACTAATTTTAAAATAATACAAAAAGTTTTCTCTTAAATTTAGGATAATAAATTAACTGTTTTGAATTTCAAGAGAAATTATTGAGATTAGGAATGCTTATGAAAATTTACCATGACAATACTTAAAAATATCTTTGAGCAGGATACGACCATTTAACAAAGTTATACGAAATAAATATGCTTATATAAAAAATATTTTTCTACACAAAAAAGGAAAAATGTTAAGTATAAAATTTAAAACAAAGTATTTCTGTTTTATATTTTCCTCATACTTTCAATATCAACTACCAATTTTAGACTTAAACTCAATAGACAAAAAACTTGAGCATTGTACTACAGTAAAATTTAACCCAATTTTTTTGTTCAACTAAAGACACTTTGTGTGCGATGAAAATAAACTATTTTAAAAACCTAACTACAATTCTTTTTATTTTTTGTATACCAAATAAAAAAAAGAAAGAAAAAAAAAAGATTAACAACAAAGTTAAACAACAAAGAAAAAAAAACTTTGTTTTGTGAAAAATTTGCATAACAAAGAAAAATGACTAAACAGAGAATCATGAAAAATAAATTTGGAACAGGCAGCTAAATATCTGGAACACATATAAACTATAAATATATAAAAACTAGAATCCTCAGAATATTACAATTATATATCTATTAAAAATAAAAAAATATTATAATTATATATTTATTAAGCATAACAAAATATCGTAACTACAACATAACCAACACAACTTTTATGACGGAATAATTAATCAATTTTGAAAAATAACTTTTTTTGAAAAAAAAAATACCTTCTGTCACATGAGAATCATTAAACTCATACCACTTGCCATTAACATAGTTTTTAGCATGTGCAATATAATGACCACCTAGATGTTAAAGAAAACATTTAACAAAATAAAAATTAACATAGTTTTTAGCATGTGCAATATAATGAGCACCTAGTTGTTAAAGAAAACATATAAGAAAATAAAAATAACAATAAATCAAGAAAAAAAAAGACACCTCCAACTGATCCGAAGTGAGTTATGACTGCTGTAAGATCATACTTTGAACAAGAAGATGACTTTTGACAATCTAAATTATTTATAATTTGTTTCTATAAATAATTAAAAAAATATATAAGAATTTTTTCTTCTTCTTCCTTTGTTTCTGCAATTTAGCAAACCAATTTAAATATCAAATAGTAATTAACCTTTTGAAAGAAACATTTCCATGTCTAAGTCTTTGAGAGGAAAGGAAATATAAGTACTAATTTTTGAGGAATAAAATAGTTCATGGCGAAATCTTTTCAAATGGATGCATAAAACCTAAAACAATAAAAATTATCCTAAAAATATTAAAAAGATGTTAAACTTTACCATTTTTTTAAATTTTGAACTATTCCTTACTTACTTCAGGCAACGAATTGACTCTTGAATACTTGATACCGTTTCGCAATCTTTAACAAGAGTATAAAAACTTAATTTTTTAGTTGATTAAAAATTTTTCTCAAAAAATATTAAATAAAAATAACTTTTCAAACATAAAGTTTTAAGTTTGTAACAATTAACAGCAGTATAAAAACTTTTTTATTATTTATAAAAATTATTTTTTTTTTAACAAAAAATAATGTAACATATATAAAGAGTACTGTAACATATATGAGGGGTACTGTAACATATATGAGGGGTACTGTAACATATATGACGGGTATTGTAATAAATATGAGGGGTATTGTAACATAAAAGAGGGGTATTGTAATATATATGAGGGGTACTGTAACATATATAAGAGGTATTGTAACATATATAAGGGGTACTGTAACATATATGAGGGGTACTGTAACATATATGAGGGGTACTGTATCATATATGAGGGGTATTCACAATATGCAAATAAAGTTATCTTTTGAATTTTTTTTTTTGTAATAATAATGTTTACAGTTTCTTTTCATTTAGTTTTTTTATAATAAAATAATTTGATTAAATTAAAACCTATATTATTGTCTTTGATTGTCTATTGTATATTGTATATTGTATATTATTGTCTTTGAGAAAAAAATTTTCTATGATAACTTAAAAAGAAAAGAAATAGAGAATATAAATTAATAGCAAAAAAATTATACACTCCAGCTAATTCTCATTGACAGATGACAAACAAAAAGAAGTTAAATTGACAAATGACAGAGTTGAGTTGAATTGACATTGCCAAATGCCCAAATCAAGTCGAGTTGAATTGACAGATACAAAAGTTGAGTTAAATTAATATTGACAGGTGACAAAGTTTTTTTCTATGTTTTATGATTGTAGATTGCAAACATAATAGATATACTATCTAAAGTCTACCATTAAGAAAAAAAAATTTAATATACAAATATATAGTTTTGTTTCTTGTATCTGAGTATACACTGTATGTAGACTACATTCTGGGTTTTTATTTTGTTTAGCGTAAATAAAAAGATATGCAAAACCAAAAAATTTTCAAATAGCAATATTCATATTCATTTCTATGCATTAGAAATATTCTTACACTAAGATAAACTTCTATTATTTAAAATAAGCTTATTAATTCCTATTTTATTATTTCTTTGGTTTCTTTAAATAAAATAAAAAAAACAACAATAACAAAAACACCATAAAAGTTAACAAATGAAAAACAGACGTAAAGACAAAAAAATATAAATAGAGCTTGCATGATTAACAATGAAATTTAAAAAAGTAAAATAAATAATATTAATATGGTAAGATCATTAATTTGCATATGGTAAAATTGCTTATGACAAATTTCAATACAGGGAATACATTATTATCATTAATTTACTTTATCATTACTAATTAATTTGCTGAACTTTGCTCAAATATATCTAAACATGTTTAAAAAACATACTTTTTGCATTTCTCACAGCTGTACATATTGTCACCTAAAAATATAATAAAAATTTATTATTATTATAAATTTAAAAAATATTAGAAATAAATAATTAGGAGTAGTATAATGGTCAACTACCTTGCAACTCATAATATGGTAAAAAGTTAAGGAGTAAAAGTCTGTAAGGATTATACAGCCCTGGAAATCAATGCACCCCCTCCCTGATTATCCTTATTTCCTAAAGTTATTTAACAAATGGGTAAAATGGCAAAACAACTATGTAATTTTCAATAAGGAAAAGAACAAAAACAAAAAAGTGTTTAAAAAAAATCAATCTCGCTCTTTCAATGGTGCCTTATGGTGCTTTTAGTGGTGCCTGATGGTGCTTCCAATGGTGTCTGACGGTGCATTCAATGGTGTCTAACAGTGTTCAATGGTGTCTGATGGTGCTTCAATGATGTATTATTATTAAGTTGTGTTTGATTGTGTTACCCAGTGTATTAAAATTAACAAACTTATCTTTAGGAAACAAAATAATAAGATAATATCAAAAAAGTCATAAACCTCTAAGAACTACAAACATATTTATTTTAAATCTCTAAGAACTACAAACATATTTATTTTAAAGTTCTAAAAACTACAAACATATTTATTTTGAAGCTCTAAGAACTGCAAACATTTATTTTAAAGCTTTTTTTTTTAATTTCATAATTTTTCATATTATGAAATTAAAAAAAAAATTATTCAGATGATTGCTTTATTAAGATATTTAAGTTTAAACAAAATCTAACCCTAAAAATCAAACTTTTTTTGGAAATTAGGTTCTAAGCATGAAAGATTTAAAAAGGCAAATTAAAAACAAAGGAAGCTATTTTGTTGGAAATGTTTTGCTTATTTCAAAAATAATTTTTGATTTTCATAATTTTACTCTGTTAAAAAATTATGACGGAAATAAGATTTTCTTTAGTTTTCACCTTAAACCAGACACAATAAATTTACCCTACAGTCAATTAAAAGTTTATAGGTTAATCTGTTTATTACTTTTTCACTCTAATTAAATTTTTTTATTATGTTAAAGTTAATTTATTTTATTACTTTTTCACACTGACAGAATTTCATTTGAGATTTTTAAGTTTTCATGTTAACTAGTTTTGTACTTTAGCACGTATACTCTTAAAGTTAAAGTGCAAAAGTACACAAATTAACCACTAAATTGCTTGGTTTCTTCAAGTTCAAAAATCTGTAATTGAATTGAATTTACTAAACTTATACCCAGTGAAAAATAAAACTGCGTCCCACATGAGTTCCATGCGGATTCCGTGAGAGATTCATGGGATTTATATGGGACGGATTTTCCTATGTGGTATCCGTATGGAAATTTGCCACTTAAAACCCATATGGGTAAATCCCACATGGGTTACATTTAGTATTTACCCACATGGGATTTTCCCATGTGGTATCCATATGGAATTTTGCCACTTCAAACCCATATGGATTTGAAGTGGCAAAATTCAAAATGATATATATAAATATATATATATATATATATATATATATATATATATATATATATATATATATATATATATATATATATATATATATATATATATATATATATATATATATATATTTATAATGTAATAAATTGATCAATTAATATGTAAATGTAATATATAAATAAAGTAATATGCAAATGTATTATATAAAAAAAAAAATAATGTATATATATATAACAAATAAATATATATATATATATATATATATATATATATATATATATATATATATATATATATTTATATGTATATATATACGGTACAGATATGAACCGTAAGTTCATCATTAGCTAGCAAGCTAGCTCGTTTAGCTGCGATAATACAGCCACAGAAAATGATGCGCTGTGGTAATTATGTGAGTTGCTGGTCTAGTTTTTTTTGAAACTGTCAATAGTAAAGGCGTTGACAACATTATCCATCAGAGCATTCCAAATATTTGCAACCTGATTGTTGAAAAAGTTAAGTTAAACGAGGCAGTTGCTATTATTTTCTATTATTTTTTATTAATTTTTGGATAAGGTCACCACATTTTCTTCTGTCACTTGGTGAAGTTAGTCCAAGTATATCACATCTTGTCTTGTAATCAAGGTGCTTTATATATATATATATATATATATATATATATATATATATATATATATATATACATATATATATATATATATATATATATATATATATATATATATATATATATATATATATATATATATATATATATATATATATATATATATATATATATATATATGTGTGTGTTTGTGTATATACACCTTGTACAGAAAGTTTAAACGCACTTGTTTTTTTAACTTATCTAATACTTTTAAGAAATGATAACCTGATAAATTAATGAGATATGCTTTGTATTTTTATGTTTATTTATACTTTGGGTATAATTCATTAGTTTAGATAGAAAAAAAATTGTATGGATATTATAACGGAGGTAGAGAGTGATGCAAAAATTAACGGAGCAATTAACTCCTTTCAATTTTTTGAAATAAAATTTAAATGCACATTGATAAGAAAACGCGTAAAACTCGTTTATTGAGAGATTTTTTATTGAAAAGTCTTTTGCATTTTTATCACTCAACAGTCTGTTAACATTAGCATATTTCATTTCGATTCCTATTCTGATTTTATTTTGAATAAAAACCGCAAATACAACTGTCTGTCTAAATGTCAAAATATCATATTTTCATGGGTAAAAAATGTTTCGTCGAAAACAAAATGGCAAGTCATTGGAATGCTGTTTCGTCGAAAACAAAATAGCAAGTCATTGGAATGCATAAAATGAAATTAAGCAATAAAGAAATCGGCAGACGCCAAAGTATTTCTGAATTCAGCGTTCGTACAACAATAAAAAATTATTTATCAACTGGTAGTGTCAATGATAAACCTCGTACTGGGCGTCTGAAAAAACTGACAGCACGCGATGAAAACATGCTTTACACGCTAAGCAGACGTAACCTAAAAGCTGGAGTACCAACTTTAAGTGCAGAAATCAATAGCTCGCTGGTAGACAAAACAGTTAGTCGAATGACTATAAGTAAGTTATTATGCAAGAAAGAATTAAATTCGTTTCATTGTTTCATTCAAAGACGAAAAAAATGGTGCAAAGAGCTTTTAAATTATTCAGTAGAACAATGGAAAATGATTATCTTTAGTGATGAATCAAATTTCAAAATTATTAACAGAAAAAACAAGAGATTTGTTTGTCGCAAAAATACAGAAAAATATTTAAAGAGGAATATTTAATACAGAATACAAAAATACAGAATACAAAAAAACAGAATACAAAAATAATACAGAATACAAAAAATACAGAAAAATATTTGAAGAAAAATACAGAAAAATATTTGAAAAAAATACAGAAAAATATTTGAACACCTATTAAGCCGCATTCAAAAAGGCGGTGGTTCCGTCGGTATATGGGGATGTATATCAGGCTCAGGCGTTTGCTGTCATATAATATATGAAGGAAGATTAAACCAGTATGAGTATCGTGACATTTTGGAAAACGCGCTTATCCCTGTCGGGATTTGTTCCAGGCTGATCAAAACTGGTTATTTCAACAAGACAATGCTCCATGCCATACAGTGCATTCAATCACTGATTATTTCCTTAAAAGTAATATTCAACTTATGCCTTGGCCAGCACGATCAACTAACAAAAAAACAAATAACTAGTCACGAATTGCTCAAACAAGAACTGACCAAACTGTGGCTTGAAATACCAATCAAGATGATTGAAAACATACCTTAACTTTTAAAAAAACAAGTGCGTTTAAACTTTCTGTACAAGGTGTGTATATATATATATATATATATATATATATACACACTTACTAAAGCGTGTTTTGATAAGCATTTGCTCACTTTTTCTGCTTACCTTAGGCTATACCGTTTTTTTTGAAAAAGAAGAAAAAACGAAGAATAATGAATAAAACGATTGCTTCCCCATCCCAAACCCTCAGTTGATGTAGCAGCACTCCACTGCGAGTCAGGCTATTTGTCAGTCGATGTATGTACTGAAGCCCCCAGCAGCAGGCTATTTGAGTATGATGTCAGATTTCTTATTATAGTACGCAATACTATTTGTATATATATATATATATATATATATATATATATATATATATATCTGAAAATCACAAATCTAATAATTTTGTTTAGATGTGTTATATAATTTATACCACAATAAATTATGATATGAAAAATAAGGTAGGATATGAGGACAACGATTAAAGAATAAATTTACTTATGGAAATTTAGATGTTTGTTGATTGGTTTCAAAATATTATAATATTTGTGACGAAAAAGTAAAGATACTATTGCATCAAGCATCTATTGCACTTAATGTTACATTATTTAAAGTAGGTTCTTACATGTTTTTTTTGTTGTTTTTTTAAACAACTTTTCCTAATTGAGCACTTTTTCTTAAATTAGAGTCTCATGAACGGATACAAGCTCTTGTCAAATTATCGATAATACATTAATCATCGTAAGTAATAAATTAAGAACTAATTATGTGTGAAATAAAGTCCAAATTGAAGTCATTAATGACTTCAATTTGGCTCTTAATTAAAACTGCTCTTAACTAATAAGGCTTTTAATTACGATTGTTCTTATTATTATTTTAATCTATAATGACCATATAATTTAGGTTGATTTAGGTTATTATTGATATTTGTTTTTATTAAAATTTATCTATATTAAAATTTATCTTATATTTATCTATATATATTTTAGGAAATGCTTGAAGAAAGTAGTTTTACTATATTCTTAATATAGTAAAAACCTTAGCATTGAGCGAGCCAAGGCGATTTACTTTGTAAATCACAAAAGAACAAATAATAGTTTTCACATTTATTTTTAATGTAATTAATAATAGCTATTATTTAAATATAAATTCATTTTGCAACACATTTTTTAATTTTGTAGAATTTTGTTATAATAGTTAATGGTAAATGCCACATTATTTGTGGAGAACATTGCATATATTTAATCCTAAATAGCATAAAGTAGCTAATACCAGATAAATTTAAGCCTCTGAAAGTTTCCATGATTAATTTCATTTGAATTAGAATATGTAGCATTTAAGATCTATAAAACATGTGGTATTTTTAACCTATAATCTGTGTGGGATTTACCATATATAACCCAGATACGCTGACCGTCAGGTCAAGTTATCTTGCTACTGGTAACATGTAATCTAGTACAACTTGCTGCATGTTAACATCAGGAAGGGCGTCCGGTTGTAAAACATTGCTTTAACTCTTTCCTAACAGCATTTATATGTCGCTATGGAGAACAATCCAAACCACACAAGTGTGGAAACATGAATGTAAAAATTACAAAAAAAAAAACAAACACATTAGACAAAATAATAATCATCACATAGATTACATATGGAATAAACCCACGCGTATCCCATGTGGGAATTAACATATGGAACCCATGTGAGATTACCATATGGAACCCATATGGGACAAAATAATAATCCCCACATGGGTTACATATGGAAAAAATATAGATAAACTGATAAATTAAATAAAAATATTTAATTTATCAGTTTATCTATATTTTTTTCATATAATTTGGAACTGTTCGCTTTTAGGGACAATTTTCTGAAAAGCAGACTTTAAAAAATAATAAAATCTTATTTTCCACAGAAACTTGAAATTAATTTTTTTTTTTTTACACTGCAGAATTGCATATATATATAATTGTATATATATATATATATATATATATATATATATATATATATATATATATATATATATATATATATATATATATATATATATATATATATATTTATATATATATATACATATATGTAGGGTGTCCCAAAAATAGCATTTTTGAAAAATTTATACTGAGACCCCCTTAATGTCTTTGACAAGTTGACTTTGGGAAATGAAAATAAATATAAAAAAAAATTTGCAATTATGTAATCTTCATATTTTTATTTAAAATCTTGTATCAATCTTATAGTCTTAGAAAACTTAAAGTTTTTTTTACCCTCTGATGATTTTTGTACACCAGTACTGATATGTTGACTGATATAGTTGCATTATTTAATGCATACAACATATAATAACAACAAATTTGAAACAACCTTTTAATTCGTCATTTGTGAAAAAAGCTTTCAAACAATCTTGCAGCTGAATATCTGGTCCAGTAAACCAACTAAACATAATAGTTAAAAATGTTAGAAAATTTTCCAAATATAATATAAAATTGAAAATGGTAAAAAACAATACCTCTTCACCCAATACCAACCATAAGAGAACCACCCAGTATCAGTAACTATACCAGAAGATGGTAGAGCATATTGAGTGTGAATTCTTGATAATTCCTCCTTATCTAAAAGAAATTTCTAAAATAAAATCTAAGATTAATAATTGAAATAATGTGTAAAATGACTTTAAAATATATATAATACAAACTTGGTATAGGTAATGATAAATCCTGAAAGGTTTCTAATCGACTTGAAAGCTAAAAAAAAGAATCAATAAGTTTATATAGATTATATTTTTACCTTTTAAAAACTTTATGTATTTATTAATAATAAACAAAATAAAATCTAACCCGATTGCAAGTGAGACACTGAACTGAACTAAGTAACTTTCCATCAAAAACACTGGTTATAATGCTTGTGTACTCTGTTTGATGAACTGAAAGGAAAAGTCGTCATCTGACAACAATAGTTTAAAATAATCATCAGAAAACAAACTACAATAATCATAATAATAATAAGAAATATTTTAATAGTAAAACAAAATATTCTAGCTTATAATTTTTTTATAAACCTTTTATAACAATTCAAATAATTATATGAAAGGTGGTTTTTGTTTGTTCTCTATTAAAATCTCTGCTAAATATAAAATACCTGAGTAGGTGTTACTGTATTTTCTTTTTTTTAATTTAATTTAAATTTTACTCATTAATAATTTTTTTTACTTTTATTAGTAAAATAAAAGTTTGCATAACTTAAGAACTTATTGAAGGATTTCCTTTGGTTGAGGGATATTGTTTATTGCATCATGTGCTTCAAATAGCATAATATTTACTTTAAAACAATAAAAACCAAGTTGACAATTGTTCACCAGAAATCCATATAGTTTATACTCATGAGATAAGTTGTAAGTTGATATTTTAACCAGGTAAAATGTTTAACATGATTGCTCAAAAAAGCAACAGAATACAATTCTGTTTTATTCTTAGGCAGGGTTGATAGGTTTAAACAAAATAATTTAAACAAATGGTTTAAACCATGGTTTAAGTGATTTGAAAAAATATCAAATTAAACCAAATTAATATTTTTTATAGATCTTTAAATTTACAGCAGCAAAGTAAAGGGTTATGTTTACAAGTAAAACTATACCTTAGAAGTAAATACTTATTCTGAATGCACCTATATATATATATATATATATATATATATATATATATATATAATATATATATATATATATATATATATATATATATATATATATATATATATATATATATATATATATATATATATATATATACATATATATATTAAATTTACATTATGTTATTTATTTGACATAGCATTTTTTTTTTTAATGCAGCAACAGGTCAGTGTGATATATGCAATAATACTGATAGAAATTTTACTCAAGTGAAATGTCAAATGCTTTTTTAAATTTAAAATGTTAATTAAATATGGCTTATTTGAAAAAAAGAAGTTTAAACAAAAAAAAAATGGTTTTTTTGGTTATTTTAAAAAAGCCTAGATTTTTTTAAATACTTTTTTTTTCAACCCTATTCTTGGGAGAAAGTATTATATATATTAGAATTGCCTTCACCAGAGTACTTCAAGATACCATTATGTTAGCAAAAAAATTGTTATAAAGATTTTTTTTTTGTAAATATTTCATTTGAATTATAACACAATTGAAGAGTTAAAGTAACTATGTTAAGTCACAACCAAAGTTAAAAAATAATATCTTTCTGATATTAACTTGACATTAAACTTTTCATATCAATACTGAGTATTTTTAGTGCAATACTACCACTATAAAGTTTAAAAATTCAAGAACTAATGTCACTAGTACCACTGACCCTACTTCCTCTAAAGCTTAAAAATTTAGTTTTTCTCAATCTCATACTCAGATAGTTAATGTGGTGATTCATTTTCCAGAAAACACTAATCCAAAAAAATAATTGAAGGCAAGAACCATCAGATTTTTAAATAAGAAACTGATTTAAGAATAAAAATAATTAAAGAAACTAAAAATTTCTAAAGGATGGTCTGGGAAGCCTTGAAATACAAAATTATCAATACTAATTTTAAAATACATTTTTGCATGAAAGAAGCCACACAAGCACTGACATAGTAATCTAGCATTACTAAATGTGATTTATTAATGCTAGTAAAATAAAATCAAAAATTTCAAATAAAATATCTATAGTATTGCAATGGTTTATACTTCAAATTATGAAACTAAAAATTAAATAAAAAATTATAACTCTCCATAAATAAATAACCATTTTTTTAAAAATAAAATTTTTAATATAAAATTTACCTTTACTCTTTTTAATCTTTTGTTTCTGAGACCAGGAAATAGTTCTTTTTTTAGAGTTAAATGTTTTACTTTCATGTAGGTCTTGAGATTCTGAAGATTCTAAAGAATAACAATAAAAATCACATTTTCAAGTCAAACCTGATTAGAAAAATAATTTAGTAAAACTTGTCTTGAAGAGTTAAAATACACACAATAAAACAAGATACAAAAAGCCTTGCCCCCCCTCCTTCATCTGTTAAAACAAGATACAACAAGCATCGCACCCCTCCTTCATCTATTAAAACAAGATACAACAAGTCTCGCACCCCTCCTTCATCTATTAAAACAAGATACAACAAGCCTCGCACCCCTCCTTCATCTGTTAAAACAAGATACAACAAGCATCGCACCCCTCCTTCATCTATTAAAACAAGATACAACAAGCCTCGCACCCCTCCTTCATCTATTAAGCTTGCGCAGATGTATTTTTAATACATTGTTTCGATGTTTAGGATGTTGAATTGAATCTTCTTGACTCGATGCATGGGTTTTGCTTGTGTCTCTGTTTTTATGACTAGGCAACTCATTCTATTATCTCCTAATGAGGGTACAGCTCAGTTTTAAACTCAGTTTTACGATTTTGAAGTTGGCTGGAAGTCAGGTTTCCCAAACTCATGTGGTAGCTCTCAGAGAAGCTGATTCCATCAACAGCTAAAAAATATCAAAGTACTAACAGTCCCATGTTGCGCATGGATGGTGTTCCTGTTTGTACTTTAGGTGTGCATTGCCAAGGCCACATTGGAGCCCTTTGTTACGGCATAGGGTTTATTTTAAAAATGAATAAAGTAACATAAACTATAAAACAAAAACAACCACTGTCATCACCAAGTTCGCTAAACCTATCATTTACTAATATTCCTGGTCTTCGAAGTAACTTAGCTTCTGTTGAGTCTTATCTCTTGCAAAGTTTACCAGACCTACTTTCTCTTTGTGAGACTAATTTGAGTTCAGCTGTCTCATTTTGTGATCTTAGTGTTGATGGTTATCTTCCTTTAATTTGTAAAGTCACATGCTTGGCCTGGGCATTGACATTCGTAAGAATTCACCCATTTGACGGGTAACTAGGTTTGAATCCACAGACTACTCTTTTATGTGCTTTTGTTTAGCAACACTTCACTTTATCATCTTTCTTTTTGTTCTATATCACTCTCCTTCATCTCAAGACTGTACTCTTCTTGATGTTATTTCTGATCATATTGACCAAGCCCTCTCTCTTTATCCATCAGCCAATATTGCTGTTATCAGTGACTTTAATGTTCACACACTAAATGGCTTGGCTCTAGTGTCAGTGACACTGCAGGCATTTAAGCCTACAACTTTTGCCTTTCTCAATCCCTAACTCAAATAGCCAACTTTCTAACTTGCTTTCCAGACAACCCAAATCATTTACCTTCTCTACTTGACTTATATCTTGTTTCTGATCCTAGTCAGTACTCAGTTTCTCCACATTCACCCTTAGGTGCCTCTGATCACAGTTTGATCTCTCTAAAACTATTAACTCATTCTTCTTTATCATCAGAATCCCCCTATCATCTTACAAATACCTTAAAGCTGACTGGGAGTTTTTCCTTGATTTTCTTCGTGATAGTCCTTGGGTTGAAATCTATCATCTTCCTGTTTACAAATGTGCTTCTTACATAACTTCTTGGATTCAGGCTGGCATGGAATCCTTTATTCCCTCTTGACGATTCCAGGTCAAGCCTCACTCTTTTCCATGGTTTTCCTCACATTCTGCTGCTGCAATTGCCAATCGTAACCATTACTTTCATATCTATCAGCAAAACAATTCTTCAGAAAACAGACACCTGTTTATTACTGCTAGGAACCATTGTAAAAAGGTTTTGTCTAACGTCAAAGTCCACTATTCTCAGGTCATGAAATCTCATATTTCATCACAAAAATTAGGCTCTCGTGACTTCTGGAGAACCTTTGATAGTATCAATGATAAGGGCAAGTCTGTAATTCCACCTCTTTTGTATGGTTTAGACTTCTTCTTGCAAAATTGTTCTCCGGAGCTGTCATCTATCCTTTTCAAAACTACTCAACAAGTGCTTATCAGAGTCTTGTTTTCCAGCCTGCTGGAAAGCAGCATCTGTTATTCCTATTTTTAAAAATTTTGATTCATCTAACTACCGTCCCATTAGTCTTCTTCCTATCATAAGCAAGGTTTTTGAATCTTTAATTAACAAACACTTAATCTTTCATCTTGAATCTAATAACTTACTTTCTGATCATCAATATGGATTTCGATCTTCTTGTGTATGGCTGATTTGCTAACAGTAATAACTGATAGGTTTTATCGTCCATTAGATAAAGGTGGAGAGATTAAGGCCATTGCTCTTAACATTCCTAAAGTGTTTGATAAAGATTGGCATGCTGGTCTTCTCCATAAGCTTTCTTCTTACAGTGTATCTGAAAACATATTTAAGATTTTAAGATATTGAATCCTTCCTTTCTAATCGTAGTTTAAAAGTTGTCCTTGATGGACAGCACTCTTCTTATTATTCTGTAACTTCAGGGGTTCCTCAAGGTTCAATTCTTGGCCCTATAATCTTTTTAATTTACATTAACGATCTTCCAGATATTCTCACATCTAAGGTGTTCGCTGATAAGTTCTCCATTTACAAACTCTACCATTTATTCTTGTCATGATAAGAAGCCAACTCTCTCTTATTGCTTGGAGGGGGCATTTGTGCTTGAAAAGGATCTCACTTCTGCTACAGCATGAGGCTCACAGTGGCTGGTAAACTTTAATTCAGATAAAACTTAATTTTTTTTCAGCCAATCGTTATAACAATAATTTAGAGCTTCCTATATTTATGAACCGTAATGTACTCAATGAGTCATCTACCCTTCATCTTCTAGGATTAACTCTTACTTCTGATCTTATTGGAAACCATATATCAAATCTGTTGCAAAATTAGAATCTGCTAAAGTTGCATCTCTTTATCGAGCTCGACACTTTTTTACTCTGGATTCTACTCTCTATCTCTATAAATCTCAAATCCGGCCTTGTATGGAATACTGTTTCCATATGTGGGGCGGACCTTTTAATGATGCCCTTTCTCTTTTAGACAAGGTGCAAAAACGCATTGTAAACATAGTTAGGCCTGCTCTTGCAGCCAACCTTCAGCCATTATCATATCGCCATTATGTTGCTTCTCTTTCTTTTTTCTACAAATACTATAATGGGCACTGCTCTAAAGACCTAGTGTGTCTTGTGCAATCTACTAAAATTCACTCTCGTGTTACTAGTCATTCAATTAAGTCTCATCCTTTTTTGTAATTTGCTTCCTTCATCTTGCTTTCCTGATTCATACAATTTGCAATCTTTTAAGTCGTCTGTCAATCATTATCTTGCTCTACAATCTTCATCTTTACTCTTCCAGTAACTACCAATTACTAACTAATTAACTACTAATTAGCGGTTGCTTGCAGCCTTGTTGGAAGCGAAGATGTTTAAAAAAAAAAAAAGATACCAAAAGAAAACAAGAAACCAAAAGAAAATAACTAAGAGAAAAATGATGAGCAACAAATCACAAGAAAACATGATCAACGATAACTAACCATGAGAAGCATTACCGCCAAGTAATTTTTTCTGAGTAACAGTACAATCCTCCTCATGCATTGATTCATCTTCTTCATTGTCTTTATCTAAGTCAATGACAGGACATTTTAATTCTTCATGCAAACGATCCATTAAACAACGTAAAAATTCTTGGGTATCCTAAAATAAAATAACTGAAAAAATATAAAATAAACAATGAAATTATATAATAAATAAAAAATACTTCATAAAGCTTTTTTACAAAAAATATCAACACGCATCAAGCATGTGGTAAGTAAAATTTTACATTTTTATAGAAAGTTCATACTTGACTTAAATATTGCATACTTTGCTTAGCAATATGAATAGGATATAACACTGAAGTAGGGAGCTACCGGGGTCTTCAATGCATACATCAAATGAAAAAATAGAACATGCAAGAAGTGTTGCTACATTTACTAGGGGTTTGGGTTAAGGCAGCAGACATATATATATATATATATATATATATATATATATATATATATATATATATATATATATATATATATATATATATATATATATATATATATATATATATATATATATATATATATATATATATATATATATATATATGTTTATATATATATATATATATATATATATATATATATATATATATATATATATATATATATATATATATATATATATATATATATATATATATATATATATATATATATATATATATATATATATATATATATATATATATATATATATATATATGTTTATATATATATATATATATATATATATATATATATATATATATATATATATATATATATATATATATATATATATATATATATATATATATATATATATGTATGTATTTATTATCTTTTTCTAGAGCTCTACATACCTGTTGTGAATAACCTCTAAAGATAGAATTATGGATACGAATTGCACGCAACAAATTGGTTGGATTTAAATACTTTACCCTTTTAAAAAATTTAAACATTTCAAATTAGTAAAAAAAGTAATCTAATTTTTTTCATTTTATATAAACATATAATATATAAAATATAATATAATTTTATCTAACCATGCAATTATACAATGTGTTTATGCACACACACACATAAATATATATATATATATATATATATATATATATATATATATATATATATATATATATATATATATATATATATATATATATATATATATATATATATATATATATATATATATAATAGATATAATTTAAAAAAATTTACCTTTCTTTACTCCATAAATCTGAAATAAGGTTTTTGTAGCACTTCGCTACAGTCAACTTTGTTTTGTCAACTCCATCTTTATTTTCAAATTTAATTGATACATCATTACATTTAAGAAAGTACTTTGTGAGTGGAGAACTAAAAAATAATATGATTATTTGATAAAACATTTCAGTATACACCACTAAAAATATTTTTTATTTAAAAATTTTTTAAATAAAAAATATATTTTTAGGGGTTCCCCAAGACCTTGAACATTTAATGGGTCTCTAATAATAATAAGAAAAAAAGTTTTTAAAAAGTATGTCTTGTTGGGTCTCAAAAAAAGCAAAATTATATAAAAACTTCAAAATTAACTATCACTTTATTTTTTCATAAAAAAAATTTCATAAAAAAATTACTATTTTAGATTTTAGTTTTTGTTAAATTCCCTATTTTTTCATTTAAAAATGAAAAATAGGGAATTTAACAAGATTTATATAATTTTGCTTTTTTTGAGACCCAACATGATATACTTTAAAAGAACATTTTTTTGATAATTATAGAGACCTGTCTTATGTTCAAGGGTCTAGGGGGACCCCTAAAAATATTTTTTATTCAAAAAAATTTTAAATCCAGTGTTATTTTATCATATAGAACACATTAAGGGGGTGGCAGCATAGATTTTTTAAATGTTGTTATTTGGGACACCCTAATCTACGCTGCTGGCAGTCAAATTTATCAATGCTTAATAAAAGTTTCACTGAGCTAGTAGCAAGTCTCAGTGAAAATTTCTATAGTTAGCCACTAAAAAAGATTCAACTATGTTACTAAATCACTGACAAAAGGAACGTTTGCACAACATAGCAATAAGGAAGTGAAACATAAAAAATAAGACTATTTTTTATGTTTGACTTCCTTACTAAAAAAGTGAGAAAAAAATTAACAAAATTAAGTCTGTAACTTTAGTGGATTTGAATGATTGGTCTTGTTCTTTATGCAAGAAAAAGTCAGTGGAGAGTATGCAACAGTATTGTAAATGAAATGTTTGGCATCATGACCGATGCATTGGATACGATTCTGAAGATGATGAATAATTAGTATGTCAAAATTGTACAGATTAACTTTTTTTTCAACTTAAAAAAATTTTGTTTGTAAAACAAATGTCTGTTTAATAACTTAACTATCTTATTTCATTTTGTTGCGATGAACCTTCTGTTTACAATGTTAGCCTTCTGTTTACAACGTTTACAATGAGCCTTCTGTTTACAAGGTTATACAATGAGCCTTCTAATTATATGATGTGTTAAATAACACTTAAAAATTCTCTTATAGGATAGCTGGTTTTTCTTGATATTTTAGAGTATTGTTGAACTATTATTAGTGAGTTTAATAAGGCCCATTGAAAGTATGATATAAAAATATTATTACTCCATTAAATAAAATAGTATGCTTACATGTAGAAATGAAATATTTTACATAATAATCAGAAAAATTTGTAAAATAATGTATGTTGTGTTTTAGAAGACAAAAGGTTTGTTAGACAGGCCTTAATAATCTTTGGTACCTTATACATATACAGGCCTTAGCAGGAATAAATAAGTGCACAATTGGTGAATTGCCTGTCAAAAATGGGTGATTTTGATATTTAGCATTTTCATGGGGTTTTTTAATATTTATATTAAAAAAAATTATAGATAAATATAAATTGATTATGTTTTAGTAATTAGTTTTTTAAAGTTTTACACTGTAATGTTTTGTATCATATTATAAATACATCAGAAAAACAATCGTCAACAACAGTTGTTATTCTGGTATTTATTCAAGCATCTTGAAGTTTTCTGGAAAAATTGTTAAAAACAACGTTGCATTTGATCAAATTTATTAAACTCAATTTTATTAGTTTAAAAATTTATTAGAAAATATTAGATTGTTTTTTTTATTGAAACGATTTATTATTTTACAAATATTATTTTGTGTCACGCTTGTTCTTATTTTCATATTTAAAAAGTTCTTTGTTACTCTTCTTATTTGTGAAACATTTTTTTCTAATTTTAAAAGTTTAAAAATTGCACTGAAATAACTCAAACAATTAGAGCAATATTAATAAAGCAAGTAATTATAAAAAAGGACTTTTGAAATTAAAACTTGAATGAATGAGTTCATTGCATTTAAAAATGTTTTTGAGTGACGTAATTAAAATTTAAACAAACAAATTTTAATTACTGTTTATTAAAAAAGATTTGATTTAAGTTTTAAATAAGCATGTATCTATTATTTTCACTTCGATTAAGTTGAATTTTAGACTGTAAGATTGACTTCTTGACTCGATGTATGGGTTTTTGCTTGTGTCTCTGTTTTTATGACTAGGTAATTCATTCTATTATCTCTAAATGAGGGTACAGCTCTAAAACTAAGTTTTATGGTTCTGAGGCCGGCTGGTAGTCAGGTTTCCCAAACTCTATGTTAGCTCTCAGAGAGGCTGATTCCATCAACAGCTGAAAAATATTAGAGTACTAACAGTGCCATGTTGCGCATGGATGGTGTCCCTGTTTGTACTTTTGATGTGCATTGCCAAGGCCACATTGGAGCCCTTTGTTACAGCTTTGGGTTTTCTAGTGGAAATGAGGCAATTGCTTGGGCTATAAAACAGTGTACTGAGTACTATCTCTGTTTCGAGTCAAGTTCTTTAACAAATTTAAAAATGAATAAAGTAACAAAAACTATAAAACACAAACAACCACTGTCATCACCAAGTTCGCTAAACCTATCATTTACTAATATTCGTGGTCTTCGAAGTAACTTAGCTTCTGTTGAGTCTTATCTCTTGCAAAGTTCACCAGACCTACTTGCTCTTTGTGAGACTAATTTGAGTTCTTCTGTCTCATCTTGTGATCTTAGTGTTGATGGTTATCTTCCTTTAATTTGTAAAGACTTTAATAGTCATATGCTTGGCCTGGGCATGTACATTCGTATGAATTCACCCATTTGTCGGGAAACTAGGTTTGAATCCACAGACTACTCTTTTATGTCCTTTTATTTAGCACCACTTCACTCTATCATCTTTCTCTTTGTTCTATATCGCTCTCCTTCATCTCAAGACTGCACTCTTCTTGATGTTATTTCTGATTATATTGACCAAGCCCTCTCTCTTTATCCATCAGCCAATATTGTTGTTGTCGGTGACTTTAATGTTAATCACACTGAATGGCTTGGCTCTCATGTTAGTGACTCTGCAGGCATTAAGGCCCACAACTTTTGCCTTTCTCAATCCCTAACTAAAATAGTCAACTTTCCAACTCGCTTTCCAGACAACCCAAATTATTTACCTTCTCTACTTGACTTATGTCTTGTTTCTGATCCTAGTCAGTGCTCAAATTCTCCACTCACCCTTAGGTGCTTATGATCATGGTTTGGTCTCTCTAAAACTATTATCTCATTCCTCTTTACCATCGGAATCCCCCTATCATCGTACATCTTACAACTACATTAAAGCTGACTGGGACTCTTTCCGTGATTTTCTTCATGATGGCCCCTGGGTAGAAATCTTTCGTCTTCCTGTTGACAAATGTGCTTCTTACATAACTTCGTGGATTCAGGCTGGCATGGAATCCTTTATTCCCTCTCAACGAATCCAGGTCAAGCCTTACTTTTCTCCATGGTTCTCCTCGCATTATGCTGCTGCAATTGCCAATGGAAACCATTACTTCCATATCAATCAGCAAAACAATTCTCAAGAAAACAGACGTCTGTTTATTACTGCTAGGAATCATTGTAAAAAGGTTTTGTCTAACGCCAAAGCCCGCTATTTTCAGATCATGAAATCTCGTATTTCATTACAAAAGTTAGGCTCTAGTGACTTCTGGAGAATCTTTAATAGTATCAGTAATAAAGGCAAGTCTGTAATTCCACCTCTTTTTATGGTTCAGACTTTGTCACCTCACCTTAAGACAAAGCTGAATTGTTTGCCAAGAACTTTTCATCAATATCATCTCTTGATTCCACTAGTAGCGTTCTACCTGATATAGCCGTCAAACAGATTGATCAATTGCTCGACATCCATATCACTCCAGCTTCTGTATCTAAAGTGATTTCCTGCTTAGACTCTTCTACAGCTTGCGGCCTGGACAACATACCTGCTATAGTCTTGCAGAAGTGTTCTCCGGAGCTGTCGTCTATCCTTTCAAAACTATTTAACAAGCGCTTATCAGAGTCTTGTTTTCCAGCCTGCTGTAAAGCAGCATCTGTTATCCCTATTTTTAAAAATTCTGGAGAGCGATCCGATTTGTCTAACTACCGACCCATTAGTCTTCTTCCTGTCATAAGCAAGGTTTTTGAATCTTTAATTAACAAACACTTAATCTCTCATCTCGAATCTCATAACCTACTTTCTGATCATCAATATGGATTTTGATCTTCTCGTTCTACGGCTGATTTGCTATCAGTAATAACCAATAGGTTTTATTGCGCATTAAATAAAGGTGGAGAGGTTAAGGCCATTGCTCTTGACATTTCTAAAGCTTTTGATAAAGTTTGGCATGCTGGTCTTCTCCATAAGCTTTCTTCTTACGGTGTATCTGGAAACATCTTTAAGATTATTAAATCCTTCCTTTCCAATCGTAGTATAAAAGTTGTCTTTGATGGACAGCACTCTTCTTCTTATTCTGTAACCTCAGGGGTTCCTCAAGATTCAATCCTTGGCCCTACACTCTTTTTAATTTACATTAACGATCTTCCAGATATTCTCACATCTAAGGTGGCATTGTTCACTGATGATACTACCATTTATTCTTGTCACGATAAGAAGCCAACTCCCTCTGATTGCTTGCAGGGGGCATCTGAGCTTGAAAAGGATCTCACTTCTGCTACAGCATGGGGCTCACAGTGGCTGGTGAACTTTAATTCAGATAAAACTCAATTTTTTTTAGCCAATTGTTATTGCAATAATTTAAACCTTCCTATATTTATGAACGGTAATGTACTCGAGGAGTCTCCTACCCTTCATCTTCTAGGATTAACTCTTACTTCTGATCTTTCTTGGAAACCATACATCAAATAAGTTGCAAAATTAGAATCTGCTAAAGTTGCATCTCTTTATCGAGCTCGACACTCTCTTACTCTGGATTCTATTCTCTATCTCTATAAGTCTCAAATCCGTCCTTGTATGGAATACTGTTGCCATATCTGGGGCGGATCATCTATTGATGCCCTTTCTCTTTTAAACAAGGTGCAAAAACGCATTGTAAACACAGTTGGACCTGCTCTTGCAGCCAGCCTTCAACCTCTGTCACATTGTCGTAATGTTGCTTCTCTTTCTCTTTTCTACAAATACTGTAATGGACACTGCTCTAAAGAGCTAGCGTCTCTTTTGCCATCTACTAAAATTCATTCTCGTGTTACTCGCCATTTAACTAAGTCTCCTCCTTTTTCTGTTACTGTTCCTAAGTGCTCCAAAAACTCTTACTTGTCTAGTTTTTTTCCTTGAACATCAGTTCTTTGGAATTCGCTTCCTTCATCTTGCTTTCCTGATTCATATAATTTGCAATCTTTTAAGTCATCTGTCAATCGTTATCTTACTCTACAATTTTCATCTTTTCTCTTCCAGTAACTTCCAACACTAATTAGTGGTTGCTTGCAGCCTTGTTGGAAGCGAAGATGTTTAAAAAAAATAACACAACTATAAAAATATTGTGTATTAGAAAGTATATTTTATTTTTAAAAAGTTTTTAACTAATAATATAAAATTAAAATATCTTTTTAAAAACTACTAAGCTCTTAATTTCTTTATTGTTATTGTTATTATTATTATTTATTTTTTTTTTTACAGTTTTTATAAGATATTTTTTAATGAAATTCTTACACTGGTCATTTGAACTCATCACGTTTATTTAAAAATAATTATGTTAAAACATTTTAAAAAAACATTCAATTACGAACTTTTTTACCTTAACAACATTCACAATAATGTAAGAATGAATAAACATTTTTTTGCATTTTTTTACACTGTTGGTTGCGTAATGGGTACTGTCGATTTAATTTATTTTTTAAAGTCACGGTAGTGATTTCTGATTGGTTGATTTTTTTTTTCTTAAAAGAAAATATTTGAAGAAAACATTTGGGTTAAATTTTTTTGATTGAAAATAAATAATGAATGCATACCAACAAAATTAAAATTATCGCTTTAGTCGAAGCTCGCCTTCTTTGGTTCTCAGGGTCTGTAATAATATATATATATATATATATATATATATATATATATATATATATATATATATATATATATATATATATATATATACATATATATATACACATGGTTAGTTAGTTATATATAAAGTTAGCCCAATCTGCAGACTTGATAATTTATTCCATGCATGTTAATTCATAACAGTTTTAGTAAAAGAGATCATCGCAATATTTTTAAGATAACGTTGTTGTTGTTTTTGTTGATATTTTAAAGATATTAGTATTTTTTCTACTACAGTCAGAAAATCAAATATTTGTATAACTTTTTACTAAATCACAAAAAAATATTTATTACTTGGGAAAAAATTATACAAATATATATATATTTTTAAATTATTAATTTTCTTTACTTTTATTATTACTTTTTAGAAAGTAGCCAAAATCATGACACAATTATACATATTTTGTGATTATTAGAGTTTGCAGGCAAAGAAAAAATAAAGGCAGTATGATTCGGTTTCTCGTTTTATATTTAGTTCATATGGTTTAATAGAGTTGTTCATTTTGTTTAATTTCCATTTAGTTATGGTTTAACTTTTTCACTACAGCAAGCCTCTAGTAATGGCTTTCGATTATGCTTTACAATTTATCTTGTTTTGTACATTAATTTCTATTTCAGACAAATAGAATTTGTTTGTCATAAAATTAATTCTCTAGACAATCAAGAAAACTTAAGAACTATACTATGGTTCCATAACATAGATTAAAAGAGGTTTCGCTTATCCCAATGTATACTTATGTAATGTATACTTAAGTGTAATGTATTTTATACATGAATAAAATATTTAATAAAATAGTAATTCATAATATATATATACATATACATATATATATATATATATATATATATATATATATATATATATATATATATATATATATATATATTAATAAACTATGAAGTTAACATTAAAAGGTTAATACTTACCAGTTTGATAGAGCCTGTAGAGCAGAGTTCATATAGCATGTATTACCAATATTAACCAAGCCACATAAACCTTATAAAGATTTTGAATTTTATATTACAATTTAAAATATTTAAAAAAATATGTACAAGGACTTTTACATTTTTTAAAACTTTAGTATTACTTTGATAAAAAACCAAATAAAACAGTTTTATTTTGCACAAGTGAAAAAAAATAATAAAAAATATTATTTGACTTAATGAACTTACAATATTTCTAGTAAATAGTAATACAGTATATAGTATATAGTGAATGCTTTATATAGTATATATTAGTTATTTGTAAGATTTTGTAAGATTCTTGAACCTTTACAACATGTTTTATAAAATAAATTTATTTCTATTAATGATGGTTTAAAATTTAAATAAAGCATGGATTCCCAGTATGAAGAAGAGAAAACAAATTATATTTCTTCTGAACTTCTGACTCCTTTTGAACTGATAAGTTAGACAAAGGAGAATGTATACGTATTTGGACAATTTTAGTTTTTTAAAGAACTTGTGATTTTTATAAACCTTTAGTTATTTCAAACACTTTAATATTTTGAAAAAAATACTTCGACAAATATTTTTCTTTACCTCTTAAGTAGCCAAGTGATTTTGTTATTTGGCAACACCAGTTAACACCAGGAATCCTCAAGAAAAGTGCAGATGAGTCAAGAAGCTCAAAATTCTAGGTTTTCATTTCCTTTCAGCCAAAACAGAAAACCAGATTGTCTGTTGCTACTCAAATTGATCCTACAACATTAATAAAATCATTCACTGATATCTCCAACTGATTAGGCTTCAATGTAAGAGATCAAATGACTGTTGTAGCAAAAGTTGGCAGTGTTTGGTTACATCATTTTCCAACTCACAATCATTGGCTCACCTTAACTGTGGGGCAGAACAAGAAAAATAAGGTGCCCAAATAAAGGAGAAGTTTTAGTAGAAGCGCCTTCTTCATCCATCTGGTCACTGGGATTCAAAACTTGTTTCGCCACTAACTGGTAAATGAATGATTAATTTATTACTAGCTCACTGTTTCAAGTGTTGAAAAACAAATATAAAAAAACAAATATTTTTTGTATGTTGTTATTCCCACCAGTTGTTGGAATAGGTCATTAAACGATGCAAACGAAAAGTTTTAGACATCCATATAATTATCAATTCTACCGGTCACACCCAAAAAGATGCCTTCATCAAGTATTTTTCTTCCTGGAAACTGTTAGATACCTAGATTGCTCTCCATTTTTGACATCACTTCTAGTAACACTGGATATAAAGCTGGATGCACAGTACTCATTAAGAAGGAATTAGGTCATGCACTGTTGTGGAAATTTGTCACCATCATGTTTACTAATATTATATATTCGTCACATCTGGAATGCAGTAATGGAAATGGACCTATTGAGTCAACTTTGAAAATGCTACAAAACCTTTAGGATTTTATTTCTCATAAGTCTACAAATAAAACCAAACCTGAGTGGCCAAAAGAGAACCAACCTATTTATTGCCAGGCAACACTCATCTTAATTGGGCTGGTAGTTGCCTTGGAGAGAATACCTTTCCAAGGGTTGATTATCAAGAATTGATTTAACTGACAGTTCATTATCTTAAATATGACTTGGCACATAGTAAGACGTTTAGCTTCAAAAAATCTGGCGTGCATCATCGTGCAAGATTGTGCTCAATTAGCTGTACATCTTAAGTTATGATGAAGCAGCTGTGTTTATATCACAACTAAATCTTTAGTATTTAACTAAAGATTTAATTGTCTTTGCAGGCTTGGACAGGAATGGCGCATGATCGAGCATTATTGCTGACCACGCAAATGATTTTATTTTTTGACAACTTGACCACGATTGTTTAATAAACAATGTTTATATGTTTTGATGAGTTAAAAATTTCAGAAATGTTCTGAATGTAGGAACGCTAAGCTAAACTTAAACTAGGAAAAGAAATTTAAAAAAAACTAACGAAAACAAAATTCCTAACGAAAAAAGAAACGAAAAACAAATACATAACGAAAAAGAAATTATATAAGCATTAAAATGAAAATAAAAACTTAAACTTTAAGCAAATTTTTTTTTTACGTTTTTTATTACGTATGAAATAAACGCTATTAAAACTTATCTTTAAAAAGCGTTATTAAAGTTACACAAAACGTTTTTAAATTAAGTAACAAATTATTACTAATGATTGGTTTAATAAAAGAACTAATTTTATTAAATTTATTAAAAAGTGTTTTATATAATATTTTCTAATTGTATAAACATTTATTTTGTCAAAAAAATTGCAAAAAAAAATTGTTTAAAAAAATAACGTAGTCTTTTTAAAATAGTAATTTTCACTAATTTCATGCTCTAATTAGTGAGTCTAATTTAAAAAAAGTTTTAAACTTTTTTATTCGTAAAAATAAAAATGTTTTAAAACTTTTTCATTAAATCAACAAAATACATGCTTATATAAGTAAATAAAGTTATTTTATATTCTTGTGTAATTCACATAAAATGTGTAAAAGTTAGTAGTCACAAAAGCTTTTGAACTTATTCACAAATTAAAGTAAATTAAAAAAATTCTTTCTAAATATAATGGTTTAAAATTTTTTTAGGAAGACATAAGAAAATAGTTCTAAACGTTTAAATTTATCATAAAAAATAAATGCCTACATAAAACACAAGCGTTTAGGTAAACAATAACTATAATTATTTTGATGGTTTTATTGAAAGCCTTTGTGTAAAATAAAAAACTTTTATTAAAAGATATTTATAACTAACACTTTTTTTTTGGCATTTAAATTGTTAAAACATCAAAATAGTCATGGTCAAGTTGTAAAGAAATAAAAATATTAGTGTGGTCAGTTACAGAGTGCAATTGCACGCCATTCCTGTCCAAGCCTGTCTTTGCGATATTTGATGAAAACATTTCACATACTAAATGATCTGCTATGGCCTTGAAGCTGTATGACACCTAAAGAGGAAAAGAAATAAAGCTTGAAAAACCACCTTTCCCAAAAGTCAATGGTAGCAACATCTATTTTTTTTTTTGTCTCTTAAAATAAAATGTTATACATGTGGGTTTTTTACATTTGTACATAGCACATTTGTTTGTTTTTATATGGTGTTATATTGGGTACTATGCAGTAAGCTGCACTTATTTAGAGAATCCGTTTGAAAAGTGTTGATTATTTGAAATTGCTATAAGAGTTTATAAAATGGTTTATTTTTCTATTACATTCATAACTTTGATAGATCAATTTAGGTGCTTAGCTTAATGCTCTGTCATTAGTGTCTTTCTGTGAGGATTTAAATCTGCCCATTAACACTATATTTTTATTTTTTAATCTGGCCATATAGATTTATAGCAAAAAAATAAATAAGCAAAAAAGATTTTTAATTGTTAAAATAAAATTTTAAAGTTTTTTTCTAGCTACAGGTTTTTTAATTTTTTGCCTTCACAGCAGCACCTTCTGGAGTAGCAGAACTGTCTTAAAAAATTTTTTTTAACAAGTATCCGACCATCTGCAGCTTATTAGGACTAATTACTTAAGCATATTAATAACTAGGGCCAAGGGCTCTATGAAAAAATTTTGGGCACTGGTACCGCCCTTTCCTGTCCAAGCAAAATTTAGTGGGAAATCAGCATTTTTTCACGAAAAAAGAATTTTATTTGCCATAAAAAACATTGTAAAAAAGCCGAAATCGGTACCCAGATACAGTCGACGCTGTTGCAAACAGTCTAGAATAGCCCCTGTAATATTTATTTTAAATATCTATACTATATATTATCATTATATTGCAGGGCTCAATTTAACGGTTGGACATCTGACATTGTCTGGCTAAAACATCAAATTGTCCGATCAATTTACAAAGTAATCGGACATTTTAACCGACGGGAAATAAATTTTACAAAATAAAGCTAGCGTGCGATTAAACGCTAATGCTGACCACGCAAATGATTTTTTTTTTAACTTAAAAAAATAATCTTTTTAAAGATTTTTAGAAAGACATGGATAAATAGTTTTAAATATTTAAATTTGTAATAAAAATTACATATCTACTAAAAAAAAAATCAAAAACGATTTAAAAAAAAAAGGTGCCAATGGTAGAATTTGAACCAGGTCACTTTGCTTCTGAAACTCAGCAAGCTAATTACTTCAGCCACATAGGTGTGTTGTCCGACGAACATTTTAAAACTATTTTATAAATAAAAGATTTTATGAAATAGCAAATAAGCTTTTTTAAAAATTTGTTCGCCTTTGTTATAGTGTATAATATCTATATACATGTTACATATATATTTTGCCTTGTTTTAAATTAAAACATAACGCATAATCCTTATGTGAATTTGACATCATAAAATTCTAATTATTTTTTGATTTTTTAAAGACATTAACTTTTTTAAATTACTGCAATATTAATATTAATTACCACAAAAAATGAGTTAAATTTGTTGTTAAAATTATATCATAGTATATATCATTTAATAAAAAAAAACTTTTAAAAACAAAATCAAATTTTATATTTTTTTATCAGAATAAAATTGCATATTTTTATGAAATTAGTTTTAAAATAAATCGTATATTTTTTATCAGAATTAAATTATATTATTATAATCTTTTGTTCAAGCTTAAAGTATTTTTTACTTGTGTTTTTCAAGTGAAAAAATTGATCATTACAATAAACAAAATAAAATAGTTATAAATTATATATTATTATATTTAAATAAATTTTTTTAATGCAAAGTTGCAAAAATATTCTTGTGCTTGCAAGATGATAAACAAAATTTTTTATTATTTTTTAACGTTCCATTTAATAACTTTGTATATAAAAAAAAATTGTTGTTAACTATAAACAATTTTGTTTTCTGTTACTAAATATTTTGATAAAATAATCAGCTTAATAGAGAATAAGTTTTTTTAAATTTTAAGTTTATTTGAATTTTTTTTATTAGTAAATAGCACTTACATCTAACATAATTGTCATTCAAACTTTTGTAACAAACTTTTTTACATAATCGTTATTCAAAAGTGATTTTTTATAAAGTTAATTACTTTTTTTATCTTACCGTTTATAGAATAATTTAAAAGTTAAAAAATTATGAAAAATTACTTAATGGAAATTGCACTAGGCATTTAAATTGCTGGCAACTTAATACTTTAAAACAAGGCCTGACGTTATGTATATAAATATCTCCAAAACTTTAGTGTTTTATTTTATATTTTAGAAAATATCGAAATAATTTTTAAAAAAAAAAGGTACCAGTAATAGGACTTAAACCACGGCACTTTGCATCAGACCCTCTGCAAACTAACCACTTCAGCCACTAAGGTGTATTGCTCAAGAAAAGTTTTAATGCTATTTAATAAACAAAAGACTTTATAAAATGACAAATAATTGCTATAAATCAAAATTAAGGAGATGTTGCCGGAATGCGCTTTTGAAGTGAAAGTAAGACTTTATAAAATGACAAATAATTGCTATAAATCAAAATTAAGGAGATGTTGCCGGAATGCGCTTTTCAAGTGAAAGTAAGACTTTATAAAATGACAAATAATTGCTATAAATCAAATAAGGAGATGTTGCTGGAATGCGCTCTTCAAGTGAAAGTAAAACTGTAAAACTTGATACAAATTCTAACATTATATAATTTGAAGTTTACGTAAGTTAGATATTTGTATACATTTTCATTCATGGCTTTAATAGCTGCAAAGAGTTCCATGTCAAACCATTTGAAAGGGCACTACTACTACTAACAGCACTATTAAGTTCAGCAATAATATATAAGATATTATTAGGCGACCATATTATCACATTTGACTATGTTGTAAATTTTAAACAAACTATCTTTTGGTCTTTAAATTACTGGAACCTAATTATTGAACAATTTTTGTAGTTTAAAACTTTAGATAAAAGATTAATTAAATGCACAAATAAAAATTTGAATCAAAAAAATATACTCAAAAATTTGCTTAATAAGCTTGTAAAGCAAATATATTTTAACCAATAAGAAAATGCAAAAAAAAATTAAAGTTGTTCTTCAGAAAAACTAATATTATTTAAACTCATATTATATACCCATACTTATATTATATACTCATACTCATATAATAAAAACCAAAAATAATAATTACCTCATATTCCCTAACAAAATATATATATATATATATATATATATATATATATATATATATATATATATATATATATATATATATATATATATATATATATATATATATATTTAAAATTGACTAAAAAAACTAGGAGAAACGATGGTAATAAGAGTCATAAATTGGTGTAGTAATGGCAAAATATAATAATAATATGATAATAAAAATTACAATTTTAAAAAATTCTGTTAAAACAACTGGATAACTATAAAGGCTAGGAGTAAACTAAAACAACTAACCTTGTGGAAACAATTCTTGCTGCTCTTCCATTAAATTAAGTTCCATTCAAAATAAAGTATTGGTTTAACTAATTTAAATATAGATTATTACAATAATATAGAAATATAATAAATGTATAATATAGAAAAATATAAATGCGATAGTGATGTAGTGGTAAAACACTCGCTTCATAAGTGAGAGGTTCCGAGTTTGATCCTCACCACGTCCCTGGTAGTACTGCGCTCAACTTGTTTCTCCACGCAGCGGCCTTGTTCGTCAAGGTTCGTGTTTCGGAGTTATAGAGTTGAGAGAGGGTTATAACCACTATTAAGTAGCCTCTTCGTCTGTAGTGGCCTTCTCGGCCTTGAGGAGGTGAATAACAAAAAAAATAATAATAATATAATTACTAGTTATTCAGTCTATACTTTGTTTATGTATTATGAAATTATGGTAAGGTTGAGGTATCTTAAATGAGTAAAATTACCTTAACTATAGAAGAGCGGGACACTTTTGTATTTGTGTGCTTTTAAATGTTAACTTATTTGACTTTTTTGTTTAAATGTTAACTTATTTAAATTTAATAAAAAAATTATTATATAGATATAACATTGTTTACATATTCTGTTAACAAACTTATCAAAATAAATGTTACTATTGCCTATTAAATATTACTATTCATCTCTAAACGAAATCTATAACAGAATCATATATAAAAATTAATATAAACCTACTTTGCTAAACCTAAGATTTGCTAGTATTCAATCTGTCATACACGGTTTATTAAATTTATTTTTTTGTTTATTATTAATTAGTATCTAATTGAATACTTAAAACAATATATGCCATTTAAATTTTTTAAAACTCTGGAGATTTTTCTACTGGGCAACCTGATGACTGATTACGAGCAATAAAAAAAACTTTATAATAATTACTATTAAATTAAACAGCTACGATTTTATTCAAAAAACTTTTAAAACTTAAGTTTTTCAATGAGATTAGCAATTATATATAAATATATATATATATATATATATATATATATATATATATATATATATATATATATATATATATATATATATATATATATATATATATATATATATATATATATATATATATATATATATATATATATATATATATATATATATATATATATATATATATATATATATATATATATATATATATATATATATATATATATATATAAAAATTGCAAAGATAACCTTATATATAAATATATATTTCTTATTATTTAAGTGTTTTATATATATATATATATATATATATATATATATATATATATATATATATATATATATATATATATATATATATATATATATATATATATATATATATATATAAATACATATATATATATATGAATAGAGAAATAATTTACTTAAATCGATTTAATAGAAATTTAAATCAATGGAAAACACAAACGATGTTTTGACGTAACAACGGACAGTTAAGACGGCGCCGAGATCAACATAGAATTTTTAATATCTCGGCTTATCTCGTTGATCTCGACGGAATAGACAAAATTTGTATTTTTTTTTTTTAACTTTCGGGGAGGTTTTCCTGGTATAAGGTTATCTTTGCACTAATACACCCCACTACTTTAAAAATTATTTGTTAAAGGGAAGCACTTTTTAGGAACATATGAGGTGTAATATAAGATTTTTTTTTCTTTTATATTATTTAAGTGTGTATATATACATAATATAAGTAAAAAGGCAACTTTACAACTTCCGAGAAAATTTTTTTTTTTTTTTCTTTAATCTTTAGTAAATACAAATTCGTGTTTTATATTAAACCGTGAACAAAATAATCTTTTACATATACAATATAATAAACTACATATAAAGTAATTAAAATTGTTTAGATCGTGATATATAAATTGTGAACAAATTATAGAATAGCATAATATGCTATATAACAGACTGCTTTTATAAAAACTAATCGTTTACATATAGAGAATAAATCGTTTAAAGGGTATATTTGAAATATTTAAAGCTACGAATTTTGAAATATACAAAAAAATATTACGATTAGGTACCGGCATTTTTTGAAGAACTCGGGAAACTTCCAGGGTCTTTTGTAACAGTCTTTTGCAAAATCAAGAAACCGTTTTTTCGTAATTAAAAAAAAAAATTTTTTTTTTTTTTGCGTTTGTGTTTGGATGAGATTTTGCTTCTTTTTTTTTAATGACTTTCTAATTCCTCTTGTGATCCATGGACAATTCAAATAGTTTGTTTTTATTTCTTTTTCTTTTATTGGGAAGTGTTTATTGTAATATTTAAGGGAAATATCTATGAAAATACTTTATGCAGTGTTTGTGTATCCAAGGTTACATTCTTGATATACCTTATCCCAATCTACGGCCGATAGAAAGTTTTTTAAATTTTGAATGGAAGTTGAAAAATATATAGGAAAATTGTCCGATATGTCTTGATAACTCCAGTTTTTAAGGAAGTTTCTAGAAATGAATTTGTCAATATATTGTCTATAACAGAGGCAGCGGTTGAGGTTAAATTGTTCCAACGGTGTCTCTCAATGCTCAGTATTAGGACCACTACTTTTTCTTCTCTATATTAATGACCTTAATAACTCAATTAAGTTTCCAACTCCTTATCACTTTGCTGATGATACTAACTTGCTCGTAATCAACAAATCTTTGAAAAAAATTAACAAATACATTAATCATGATCTTGCCAATTTAGTTCAGTGGCTTCGCTCAAATAAGCTTTCTCTCAACTGTAGCAAAACTGAACTGGTCATATTCAAATCTAATAAAACAAAAATCAACAAAAATTTAAACTTTGGATTAAGTGGCCAGAAAATTATTCCTGTAAACTCTATCAAACATCTTGGAATTATAATTGATTCCAACCTATCGTTTGTGTCCCATCTTAAAGACTTAGCCATAAAATTGAGCAGATCAAATGAAATGTTGACAAAAGTTCGCCATTATGCCAATCTGGAAACACTATTAAATATATATCATGCCATTTTTGGCTCACTTATCCGATATGCTTGTCAAATATGGGGACAATCTCAACAACAAGCAGTTTTAAGGATATATTCAAAACAAAGCTTTAAAAATAATACATATTCAGAATTACAAATTCAATCCTAATATGCTTTATCTTATCCTTAAACTATGTGACCTTGTTCAATTCTTGAATTTTCAGTTTGTCTGCAATTACCAACACAAAAACTTACCTCTTACCTTCAACAATTTCTTCCCAAAAAATGCAAATAACCGTTACTATCTCCGATCAATTGATAATCTGAATCTTGCAGTCTTAAAACATCGTTCTGTTACTTATGGATAAAAGTCCATAAAAAACCAAAGTATAAAATCTTGGAATAACCTTCCCTATGACCTAAAAGCTCTCCATTCAATCTATATTTTTATGAGTAACCTATTCCATTCTTTCCTAATCAAATACAGCTAATAAATCCAAAGATATGTATTTGTGTTTAAGCGTTTGTGATATGCGCATGTGAATAAGTGGTGAGTGTATATGTATGTATGTGTATATTTATGCATGGATGTGCATTTTTGTATGTTTATGTTTGTATATATTCAGGGTCGGACTGGCTTGAAAAAAAGGGCCGGAAAAGTTTTTGTCATGGCAACCCACTTCATTGTATGTTGCTTATACTGAATATATATATATATATATATATATATATATATATATATATATATATATATATATATATATATATATATATATATATATATATATATATATATATATATATATGTATATATATATTATTATTATTTCAAGTATATAAAAGAAATTTTAAACTTCGTCGCCTTAATATTAATAAAAATAAATATTTTTAAAACACTGCTGTTAGTTGGAGTTTAAAAATAGTCGAAATAGTCGACACAATCGCCATTCAATATTGACTATTTTAGCAATTTTTTCATTGTTTGACTAGTTGATGCCAAAACATCAACGATTGCATTGTTATTAATTCTTGAAAGAAGGTCCTTTTTACAAGACATCAGCATTAATGATTGTAAATCTGACTGGCTTATCAAGTTTCTAAATCTGTTCAAAATAAATTTTAACTTCGAAAATGACCTTTCACAAGCAACTTGTGATAAGGATGTCAACACAAATTTGTAAGCCAGAAACAAGTTTGAAAACGCAAGACTATGCAACTTCTGGAGGACAAAGTAACAACAAACAATATAATTTATGCAAGATTTGCATTTTTTTGTGGCTGTTGCTGTTTTCTACTTCTGAAATTGTAAAGACAAATTCAAATTCTACATATTTATATTGTTGGATGTTGTCCGAGACAGAGTAAAATGCTTCCGTGTCAAATAGCAAATTATATTCATCTTCAAGAGTTATTTCAAAACTCTCCCATTTCCTTGCAAAGTCCAATAATTCCGTTTAAAGCTGATCTTTTGTTGCACTTGCATCAAAGTTTCTGAAAAAACCAACCTTTTCTGCTGCAAAGCGTCACTAGGCACTTTTTTCAAAATTTCTTGGACCTAAACAAGATAAATCAGCATATAGTCTACCATGCTCTGAGAATCTCTGTTTTAAACTATTGATTACTTGATCCATTACCATGTTGTGAACATTGGCACGAAATTTATCTTTCGCACTTTCAAGTTGGTTTGCTCTTATTCTTTCCTTTTTCAAACCTGTCTAAACTTCAATGTCGAGATTTTTTTTCCTAGTTCACTGTTTGCGAATTCTGAGAAATTTGTAGCTGCTTGAAAAATAAAATCTAAATTTCTATCTACTTTGCTTACTTTATTAATACTGTCTTGAACCATCTGATAGGTTCCTAATATATCCATTCCATTTGTTTGCAAATAATCAGACAATGGCGTTGTGCTTCGGTTACATATCGGATCATAATAGAACACTGATCCTGTACATTAATATCTTTTGTTATATAAATTTGAACAGCTTTATAAAATTATATTATAAAGTAAATATTTTGATTTCCCGTTGATTACAATAATCAATGGGAAATAAAATGCAATCTAAATAAAAATATGATAACTTTTTTGGGGGAAACCGCCCCACCGGGAATCTCCTGGTATCCCGGCGG